CACAACATGAGTGAGTAGGTGAGCTATCGGCAGCTAGTCTCACATCTCATCATATGTGTATATGTCGTGGCGGGCCGTCCGGCGCGGGTTAAGTCTCAGTCGACTGAGATTTAGCAAACCCGTTTTGTGAATACACTTATCAATTGCGTTTTATGCATTGCATGGCATACCACTTATTTACCTTCCATTCATATGTGCCAATCATGAGAACATATGTGTATATGGCCATTCATTAATATATAGCTGCTAATGATCATTCTCTCTTACTTCTGGAATACATAAGATTTTGTCTTACATTTCTTTTAGGGTGTGGCTAGGTCTCAGTCGACTAAGATTTAACCAAGTCTCAGTCAAGTGACAAACATGCAATAGAGAAAAAGAAAAAACTGAGATTTTCTTTTTTGCACGAATCTTAACGTAAGATCTAACGAATATAGCAACGACTGAGACTTCGTTATGTTTTAATCGACTAAGACTTAGCAAGACTGCTTCTTTTATCCTCCCTTCCCACCCCATGTTTGTTTTTGGTTTTGCCAAATTTTTACATTGATCTTAGTCGAAGACCGCTTGAACTGCCTCGTATCTCTTTGATAAGACAATAAGTATTGATTAAACAAACTGTATTAAGGAACAAATACCGATCTCAAATATGGACTAGGGCCTGTTTGGCACTACTCCGCTCCAAAATCAGCTTCGCTACATCAAGTCCACTTCGGAACAGTTTTATACAAGAGATGCAGCTCCAGCTCCACCATTGGATTAAGATCCAACAGGCCGCTCTGCTTTTTTTGCATTCAGCTTTCATCCTCCAAAAATGGTTCTTCTTCACTCCTCATGTCCAGTTTGCTCCGCCTTGTTCCTGGCTCGACATCGGAGTTCAAGCTCATCTCCTTCCTTTTCCTCCCACGAAATGAACTTAGCCAAATTGCAAATTCAGACAACTTAGATATAGCCGTGGTTCTCAAAATAATGATAATGAAGGAACAAATATGTACATGTTCCACTGTTCACTTTGTATTGAGGCTGTTCCTTATTAATGGAGAGAAACCCTGTACATGCATCATGCATACATGCACACGTACGTGTTGATGAGGTTATGTAGTTCTCCGGCTCCATTATTCCGGAATAATAAATGCAGCGGCAACTCAATTGGCAGCCACTAGAACACTGTTCATACTCGAGCCCACCACCACTCACATGGCGCCACAAGACGTCAAGCCAGGCCCCTCTCGTTTGTGTATGATTGGAAATGCATGGTTGCTCGCCTGTGAATTTAGCTTGTCATCAAGGGAGTTTCGGTGGGCACATGAAATCAATCCTTTCGTGATCCCCTCCAACCGGTAGCCAGTTAATTATACAGTTTAAGACTTTATTCAGAGTATTCTTGACGCGCATGTGGAGTTGAAAAGAAGCTTTGCTTCCATATCATCTTCTTCATGCCCCCCACGTAGGTGTAGCTCCGTCCGTTATCCAACTCTCCATGCCGCTCCATTGCTAGCTTGGCGCTTAAAGAGAGCCTTCAACCACACACCTCCTCATCCTAGTCTCATTCTCGCGCCGCTCCACCGCCTCCATCCTCCCTCCGGACGCCAGCGCCCTTACCGGTGCCGCGTGCGGGTTCGGTGGCCAGGCGGCAGCGGAGCTCGCCTCCAAGGGAGGGTTCCACATTGCGGCCATCGGCGCTGGATTCTTCCGCGGCGGCCGGGCTTGCGGCGCCTGCTACCAGCTGAGATTTTTTTTTTCGAAAAGAGGGTTAAGCCCCGGCCTCTGCATCAGAACGATGCTTACCGCCGAATTATTAATAAGCAAAAAGGTTCAACAAAAGTCTTTAGATCTCAAAAGTAAAGAAGCTCAAAAAGAGCAAAAGCAACATGACAGGATAGCCACAACCGGCAGGCAAAAGATAAGATAGGAAACTAAACACATATCCTATTACATGACCACCATCCAAACTGGTTGAAGATATTTCGAGTTGCCATCTCCCATTGGATAGATCCAGTAACTGCTATCAGTCGAGATGCAGGGGCCGGAGCGCGTGCGCGGCGGGCGGCGTCAAGGTCATCATCGCCGACGTGGCGAAGCCGGCGACGGACACGAACAGGACAGGCGGCGGCCAGTTCCAGCTCACAAGGGACGCGTTCGCCGCCTTGACTGCTTCTCGTGACGATGGTCAGCTGGCGAGCTTGGTGGACACGGCCGTCGAGGTGGACTTCAGAAGGATACCTTGCGCGTACAAGAGCAAAAACCTCGCGGTGAGGGTGGAGGAGACGAGCAACAGGGACAAGGGCCACCTCGCCCTCCGGTTCCTCTACCAGTCGAGGTGGCGAACGCGGCGGCACCTGATGCCGCACAGAGCGTCGCCGCGCCGTCGCAGACGAAATGGCAGTACATGACGGGGCGCGAGGGGTCACCCGGGGTGTGGCGCACGTCGCACGCGCCGGCCGGCCCGCTGCGGCTCCGGCTCGTAGTCACCGCGGGGTCCGGCGGCAAGTGGCTGCTCTCTGACGGGGCGGTGCTCCCGGCGGAGTGGCATGCTGGCGCGGTCTACGGCACTGGCATGCGGGTCACTGAGGTCGCTGCAAACACCTGCGGCAGCGCCTCCTGCGGTGCCGGGGACGACAACCGCGACGATGATTAGGAGCTCAGATGACGCCCACGCTCGCATCCATCGGAGCCTGCCTGCACGCCACCGGCCAGCCGCCGGGAAGGTCGATGATGCATTGATGTTGCTGCTGCTGCTGCTGCATGTACACTGCACGGATGTGTAGGTGTTCCGCTGCATCTACATCGCGACCAAACGGCACAACACAACGCCGGCACACGCAGAAAAGTGAAGAGAAATGGAGGAAGGGGCATAACAGCGAAAAACACCCCGAAACATGGGAAACTACAACGACACCCTTGGGATATTCCTACCTAGACAGCCTAATCGTTGTCGCCGAAGGTCCGCCGGAAGAAATGGCGCGTGCTCCATGATTGTGGTTCCACCATGACGGGCGGCCATTGACCTCAGTAGCAAGTAGCTAGTGCATATATTAATGGGTTATACATAGACACGCTTGAGAATTGAGATCGTTGTCATTGTGCTCATGCATGCACTACATGAGTGGGTGGGTGAGCTATCGGCATTAGGCATTACGCATTCGGCATCTAGTCTCATGTCTCACCGTATGTATATACCGGCATGCCGCGGGTCCAACTCCAAAGATACCTTGCGGCCATTGTTGATTCTTCTTCCACCGTCTTCTTTGTGGAATGTGACACTTATCTCTACTCCGTCTATCCCATAATATAGAATGTTTTTCAAGATAACATAGGTTGAAAAACGTTCTTATATTGTCAGACGGAGTAGTAGTTTATTGTGCATCCATGACATCACCATTTAATTGCCGCTCATGAATCAATGATAATCCCCACAAGATAAATAGCACTAACAGATTTGCCAATTTTCAATCGATTGATAATAGTTAAATCTAAGTTTGACACCGAGAAATGTCGATACAACACTAAGATCCATGCAAGGTTTTTTTTCAACTACAATTTTCTTTACACTGGATGAAGAGCTTTTTTATAATTGGGTGCACATTTTTTAGGACAAAATCTATCATTTTTAAACCACGTGCTCCCTCTCTCGCCCGTGTTGAGAGGCGCCCCGGCTCTCTCCCCATTCTTCACCAGTAGCGCTGGAACTCGATGTGGATATGGGAGAGGAGTGTTGGTTCCTTGTGTAGATAGTGGAAGTAAGGTTGTGTCTGCCTTAGAGGCTTGTGGCGTTGATGTTAGGGAGTGTGCCGCCGTTACATGTGAGTGGTGGCTAGTGGCTAGCACCGCTTGTCTGACTAGTGGTGGTAGTGGGGTGCCTCCTTCAGTCAGCCGCGATAACACTAGCATCTACTGCAATAAACTTGTCGGTCACCCCGGTTTGGAGGAGAGCCCTCCGGTCAGCCTCAACTCTGGAAGCCATCGTGGAGGTGGATAAGAAGCAGAGGAGATGTGGGGAACTGGATAGCATAGATAGGAAAGAGCACATCATCGATGGCATCCTTGAAGAAGCTATGACCCCTGTCGCGGTTGTCGATTACCAGCCATTGCCGCCATGCCGTTGAACTATCTTGTCGAAACACAACCATCTATCTACCTCGCAACCCATGAGCTAAAAAGGAAGGCAATGAAGCTTCTACTCAGGGTCCATGTCCTGTTGGTGGTGCTGTGGGGGTTTGTGGCATCCCAAATGGTTTTCGTCCTCGGCGACATTGCAATTGGATCCAGCCGGGAGTGGATTTGGACATTGTTGCAATCTTCCTTTTTTCTGTTTGGATCCTCCTTGTAAAAGTTAGGGTCTGGTTTGTCATTTCATGATCCTATCGGGTCCTGACTCCTCAAAATGTAAGATGTATTGTCCTACCGTTTTAATTCAATGTAGTACCAGGTCCTTTTGCACCCTCCCTTGTTAAAAAGAAACAATTCCTTTAAATATGGATGTATAAAAACATGTAAGATTGACAGAGATTATCAGTCTACTAAGCTTGCCCTGGAATATGTGGCCATTCATATCCATAGTAGCTAATTAAACATTCAGAAATGTAAAAGAAAAAGATTTTTTTGAATCAGGCATAACCACTTTCCGTTATCTGAATAACAGAAATAGATCAACCAGTCTAGAGATAAAGGAAAAGTAGAAAAACTAAATCAGATTTAGGCATGGCAGATCCAACATTTTTTATGATTAATTATGTTGGCGGGAGGATGGTAATTTTTTTTAGCAAGCATGGCAAATCCTAGCAAAAGCTGAACATGACAAGGATTGCCCTGCTTCCTAAAGAAAAGAGGCAACCTCGCCACAACATAATTTACCATCTCAGGGCATCTCCAGCCGCGCCCCCAGGAAGGCCTCACCAGGCATATTTTTTTTGCGCCGGCGCCGAAAAACGGCCCAATCGCGCCCTCAGGAGCCCGATTTTCGCTGGCCTGGGCCGAAAACAGCGCCGGCGGACCCACGCCGAACCCGGCACGCTGGGGGGCGCTCGGGGGCGCCGGGGCGAACTGTTTTGGCGCGAAAAAGCCGCGGGCCAGCCGCGTCCGGGACACGACGGCTCGTCTTCCCCCCAACTGCCTCGGTTCCCACAAGAAATCAATGGCAAGGCCGCCGCCGGTCAGCCTTGCCATTGATTCCTCACGGGCGGCGCGTCTCGGGACGGCGCGCCGACGCCTCCCCTCCCTCGCGCGCGTACACACGGCGCGGAGCGGCTATAAAAGTCGGCGGTTCTCGCCGGTGCCCACACCAGACTCGCCCCTTGCCGTCGCCCAGCCCCTCTCTCTCCGTCTCCGTCTTCCTCTCTCGAGCGCCACCGGCAGCCCCTCTCTCTCCCTGTCTACCACCGCCGAGCCCGTCGCCATGGCAGAGCGCTTCCCCGGAGACGAGGCGGCGGCGAACGGCTTCGGCCGGCGTTCGCTCCGCGAACAGGAGTCCTGGCTCCTGTTCCAGGCGAACATCCCGGCGCCGCCGGACATGCGCGCCGGGCCGACGGGGTGGCGGCTCAGCGACGGGGGAGTGCCCGTTCCCCCGTTACCTAACGCCGTGGCGAAGCCCACGTACTTCGCCGAGGAGGTCGAGGTCGCGCGCGCCTCCCTAACCGACGACGAGCGCTCCCTCCCCCAGTACGCCGCCGACAATCACGTGGCTTGGGCGGCGTACTTCCAGCGCTGCCAGCAGCAGCGCCTGGCCTCCACCAACGACGCGCCGGTGGTCGGCGGCGTGAAGAACAGCGTGGGGCACCACCTGTGGTGGGGCGTCCCGGGCCACACGCTGGAGGGCGTGCTGACGCACCTCGACGGCGGCAACAAGCCGCCGTTGACCTATCCTGCGACGGGGGCCGCCCCGTCGCAACACCGACGCACATGGGCGCCAAGGAGGTTTGCCTCCTTCTCATCTTCCTCCTCTCGCTCATCTTCCCACTCCTCCAGTTCTTTGGCGCTTCTCGGCGTCAAGGCCGAGCCCGCGGCGGAGACGCCAATCGGTCGGCGCACTCGCAGCGTCGGCATCGTCATCAACTAGGGCGGCCGACGCGCCCCCTCCTCGTCGGCTCCTCCGCGCTTCGTCAAGCCGAAGATGGAGCCGGGGCTGGCGCCGGTGGAGGCGGAGTTCGATGACGACGCGGTCCTAGAATGGGCGCGCCAGGACTCCATTGCGATGGAGAAGGCGCGTCGGGAGAAGGAGAAGGAACACCAGCGCGCCGCCCTGCGCCGCTTCGAGGAGCGCCGACGCGGCCGCGTTGAAGACGGGGTCGTCGTCTTATGCAACAGCGACGACAACGACGACGACGCGCCGCCGCCAGTCCGCCATGGTGACGCCGGGCAGGGGTCCAGCAGGGGCGCCCGCGTCAAGGAGGAGAAGGCCGACGACGACGATGGCGGCGACGGCGGCGACGACTTCAGCCCTTTTCTTTTTTAGATTAGGTTAATGTAATGAAAATGCGCGAATTTCACCGAAATTTGACATGTTTGGCCGAAATTTAACTAGTTTTTATCATAACTTCGCCGAACAGTCCTTTTTTTTAAATACGCGCCTGGGGGCGGCCCTGGGGGCCGACGGCTGGGGACCGACTCGTCCCCAAGGCCATTTTTTGCGCCGGCTCACCCCCAGGCGGCGCTTTTAGACGCCCCCTGGGGGGCCAACGGCTAGAGATGCCCTCAGACGTCTGATTTGCCATGCTAAAAAAATTTAACGTCGATTTATAGCAAAATCCTAAACATTTATTCACGTAATAACATACCAGTCCGCAACTACGGGCGTACACTTGTAGGGTTTTTTTTTTTTTGCGGGAAGTACACTTGCAGTTTATGACAACGGCCAGCTTGCTAATTTAAGTATATTGGCCGATCTCTCGGGATTGATACTATAATCCTCAGACAATGATGAATAAATATACTGGCATCTATCCTGGAGAAGTCGAATATGTTTATTGGCATACATGCCGTCGAAGCCCGCAAAAAAAAGAAGACGGCCTTGAGGATAAGTAGGCGAAATCATGGAGATCGGTCTGTCTCTGTTGTTGATCTCCAGCAGTCGAGCTGCCTTGTGCGCATTATTGTTGTGCTAGCCCTGCGTTAACTAGCTAGCTAGGAGGTTTTTTGTTAGCACATGGGTCTCATGCTCGAGTAGTATATGTAAGCTTACTCATGGCACGCACGCACGTCCATCGATCGATGCTGTTGATCTATTTCCGGCTCTGATTACTTAACTAGTTTCATAAAAAAAACTTAATTAGTTGATTTTTAATTTGTTTATCGGTGGAAGTTAGCTAAGAATTCAAGATCGCTGATTCTCATAGCAAATGTAATAATAAGTATTTCAAAGTTCGGTTGTGAAGATTTGTCATACTCATAGTAGTTGTTATTATTTTATTTATTTTTTGAAAAGGACGAGGACCCTAGCCTTGGTTGGATCATGTATATGCAGCCACTTTATTAATCATTCACACAAGACCTTGCGAAGTTATACAATAGTAAAAACTAAAAACCACCGTCTAGACAACATCTGTCGCTACTTCTATCTAATTGATGAAGGGATGCTGATAGTTTGGGCTTAATACCGAACAGATCTCACAGCCAAACCTAACATCTAAGACCTGAGGTCCC